TATGCACGCACAACATTGTGAACAAGGCATTTTACTCAGCGCCCAAACGCTTTGGGTGCCACCGAGGAAATAAATTACTTTTTCCTCTCTTTTTTTTGAACCTGACAACCTATGATTCGATGCAGAAAGTCCACAGCCTTCCCTAGCTAGACTTGCCATGTGACAGCCTCTCACTTTTCTTCTCTTACTAGAGTTTCTGCAGTTTTAGGTATTTCTAAAATATTTTCCACATTCTAGCAAAACTAATTGCTGGGGAAAAAAAAATAGCAAAAGTCAGTCTGCAAAAGTTAGTGGAACACAGACTTGGAACACCTCATTATCAGCATCCAGAATCTAATTCTAAAAGCCATGCTTACTCAACCAGAATAGAAAAATAATACCAAATGGCATCTATGTCATTGCCACAAAGCAACAACAAATAATCAATGAATGCTTGAATCAAATTATTCATCAGTAATCTAAGCACCATCAATTACTTGGATAAAAAATTCCTAAAAATCCATAGAGCTGAAATAAAGCTTTTTTGATAGGGGATAAGCAACAGAGAAGAACCTAGGGTTTTCGTATTTCTATCAGTCATAGCTGTTTCTCTTCACGTGCCTGATGCCGTATGTGTGTGTATCACACAGTAGTTTTGGATATTAAGCTTACAATTCAGGATTAGTTTCTTACCTAAAGAATAATAATGAGGATATTCCAGCGGTTGTTTGGGTTTTTTTTTTAAACATATTGAGAGAAGCAGTCCCGGTAGGAAATTATCTGGCAAGTCACTTGAACTTTTGGTGATTAGAGGATAAAGATCACTTTTACACAAACTTATATAAAACTTTATGTTCTATGAGTCACCCCACGTGGCTTTAAAGAAAAAAAATTTTTTAAATCCCAAACTTTATTTAACATGCAAAATGAGGTCATTGGCTAAGAATTATTAAGAAACCAATGGGAAAAGGCTTGTAGAAAAGTAACCCTTGCCCAGGATTCATGTGGTGTCTTTCGACAAGTGGTTCAAACTGGGGGACAACAGTTGGAACACCTAAAACTTACCATCAAAAGTCTTCAGTAAACACAACTTTACATCACGGATGTTTTTAACCTCCTGACTCTTATCTGTTTGTGTTCTTTAAAGCAATGTCAAGGTCAGAGATGGAGATTGGTGGATGAGTTGTAGTATTACATCAAACAGAGCCTACATAAACATATACACTGCTTTCACTTCATTGACGTCCCATGGCCTATACAAAAGCATTGCCTTGTTGATTCATACTGCCCTAAGTTATCATAACCCGTTCTAACGTATGCTCATTATATTTGTATAAATGAAATACGAAGGGACTGATTTTTATGGGTCTACCTTTTGTGCAGAAGAACATCTGCTCACAAAGTCTGCTTTAGCAGTTTTCGAGGTTTCCTCAGTTTGATTGTGCAAAGGACATCAAGGGGAAAAAAGGCTGCCCCATCATTTAGAGTTGACCTGCAATCATAAAGGAAACAAAACAAAACCACCTTCAAAATGTTTTATAATCTATGGGGATTTTTTGTTTTTGTTTTTTTTTTTTTAAAATCTTACTGAGTAAACTGAAAAAACCTGGCTTCTGAAAGGCTGCCAGTTGTTAGGAACTGCCTAGGCAGTTCAGATACTGCCAGCTGCCCGACAGCAAGGAAAAATATGCCAAAGACATGATGGTGCTTTGGAAGAATGAGACTCTTCGGAAACTAATGGAAGTTTTGTGACGCAGGCCTGTGCGTCAGACAAGGACATTCTTGCATTAGGTGTCTGTCTTTATCTGGTTATTTAAAAAAGATGGTGATGAGTTAAAAAATCCTTTTTAAAAACACTTCCCGTGTATCATTAAAAGCTATTTCCTCTCAGTTCACGTCCTTTTTTTTTTTTTTAAAGACAGAAAAACTGCAGGCAGGACGGTGGCAGTCACACTGGAGTACAGTCATTTCGGGGGCAAGTAGCTTATGTTAAGCAGTCAGTAGCAGAATGCTCCTCAATTCTGTTCATACAAAGCTATCTAACACAGCAGAGAGACATACATAGATAAGTGAATGAATACATGCATACACATAAACAAATGCATACGAGCTCTTTGGGTCTTTGTCTTTTTCCAACTGGGTCTACTTTTCATTTGTAATTTGTTTCCATGTTTCTTCATGAAAGGGACTTTGTTGTGCATCGTTTTCTTTTTCTCTTTGAGGGAGGAAAGAAGACATATTTCTGTATATTTTTCACTTCACATCATTGAATGGTAAGAGAATCGCGCTTTTCTAAGACGTACAAGAATAATTAGAAATGAAAGGGGGGCAAAGAGTATTAGAGCTTGACAAGTCTAATTGCGATGGTCTGCAGAAAGTGCCTCGCCCTAGGTTTTTCAGCCCAAATTTGCTCCTGGTCAGACATGTGAGGTCCACAGAATTCTTTTGAAAGTTGTAAGATTAGTTTTGTTTAAAACGCTTAAAAATGCTAGTGAGTTTTAAGGGCTGCCAACTTTTCTGTATCCAGATAGAGATCCCTAAACCGACCTGAGTTAATAAATAAATAAATAAATACAATTAGATGAAGCAGTTAGTTAGCTGAAAAATGTCTCAAGTTATAAAAGCCTGTAACCACTGAGAGTACTTTTAAGAGCCGAGTTATGAATATAGGGGCTTAAAAATTTGCTACATTATAAATAAAACTTTTGGCATCAATACCCAAAAATGAAGAGTGAATAATAGAAGGTTAAACAATGCTCTGCAGTTCTGCTTCAGCTTCTTTCACACAAGTGACGTATTTACCAAAGAGGAGAACTAAATGCAAAACAAACAAACAAACAAACAAAAATCATGCTACATTCGATGACTTGACAGTGGAATTTGCTATTTCGAGCTCGGTACATACCGCAAATACCAGGATAAAATAATCTGTTCAGCACAGTGAAGTTTGAATACTTTTGCTTTTATTGTAGGACAACCGTTGCATGCAAAGGAGAAGAAAAGGAAAGCGTCTTTACTTTTTTTCCCCGCCGGGTGGGACATGAGAGGATGGCGAGGGTGACGGGACGGCCGGCGAAGCGGACCATCCCCTCATCCCGGATTTCTGCCCAGTGTGACAACCCCTGGTTCCCCCCGTGCCTGTTTTGGGGACTCCCCCCCCCCGGCCCAGCCCCGGCCCGGCCCCGCCGCGCAGCCCCCGCGGGTTCCCCCGGGACCCGCCGCCCCCGGGGGGTGGGGGGGGACGACGGACCCGGGGGCTTCGTGGCCGGGGAGGGTGTCCTCGGTGGGACCTCCGTGTCCTCCTGACCCGCGGCCGCATGCCGAAAACTAAACCGAGGGTTTGTTGCAGGGGTTGCTGTGGGAATACGAACTCGGGTGCTTCAGTTTCAACGGGATTCCCCCCCCCCCATTTTTTTTTTTTTTAACCATTGACATGTTTCTCGAATGTCAGGGACAGGGGACGTTTGTGACAGGCAGGAGGGGATAACTCTTCCCCCCCCACCTCCCGCCACATTCTTCCTTGTTAACCGTGCTCGGGCGGTGAGGTGGGGGGCGAGGGAATAAAAGCATTCCTGCACGTCTGGAGGAAAGAAAAAAAAAAAAAAGATGCTAAAGGGGGAAAGTGAAAGGGGAGGGGAAGCGCGGCCCGGGGGCTCGAAGCGCCAGCGCCACGACGC